TGAGTTGTGTATTAAATATATATAGTGAAACATGTAGAACACTGACATACAGAAAATAATGTATAAAGCATTAGCTATATGTTTACTGCTGCTATTGTCAATCCCGTGAAAGGTCTTATCTCTGAGAATTTGAAGAAAACATCAAAGTGTTGCCAGAGCTTTCTCATCACCGTGACATGGTCAGACTTGTCTCCAGGCTCACCTGTTAGAGTTCTTACTGTGTCATCATATCTGCGTCCCTCACCAGGCCTGGCTCCCAGCATGTGCTCCCAACACGCAAAGCCTTACCATCTTCTCCCTTCTAGAATTGCAAACCAGTTCAGACCTTCTCTTCATTGTTATTTTTAAAAGGAAGAATAAAGATTGACTCTAGGTAATAAATAAGGAGCTAGTGCTCCCACTTAAAATTTGCAGTTCAAAGTAAATCATTTTAGGATTTCTTATTGCTACATAGAGTGCCTCCCTACTATTTGGGTCCCTAGGATTTAAGCAGATTTTTACATGATAAAGAATTTGGGACTTTTTTGATAACTTTTGTTATGATATAACTTCATTACCTGAACTTCATTGTCTTAGGAAATTAGAATTTCTCTCTCTTGTTTAAGTGTATTATTACATTGTGTAGTATGTAATGCATACATTCCTTGTGGGAAGTTAATACATGTACATAACACATCCCAACTCCTTTTTTTGTTAATTGCTTATCCTTTCCCCATCTCTTGATCCCCTTCCCCTGTGAAAACAACCTACCTTTCTACTTCCTATTGTCTGTGTTTTATTTTGCTCTCTATTTTTACTGAGTGTTTCATATAAAAGATACCTTATAATATTTAAGCTTATGTGTCTGATTTATTTCACTCAACTTTATAGTCTCAAGGTGCATCCATTGCCTACAACGGACTCAAGTTTATCTTTCTATATGGCAAAGTAGTACTTCATTGTGTGTGTCTTAATTACTTTTCTCATTGCTGAGGCAAAATACCTGATACTCAAAGTTAAAGGAGGAAAGGTTTATTTAGCTCACAGTTTTCTAGAGATTTTAGTTCACAGTTGGCTGGCTCTAGACAAGGTGGCATGGCAAAGGGGTATCATAGAGGCGAATGTTTATGGCAGGCAGAAGATAGCAAAAGCAACCTGTGACAATACACTTTTTGTCCCTTATATTTTATCTAGGCTACCTGCCCTTAGGGTGGGTAGCACTTACACCCTTAATCCTAGTGTACTTTATCCTAGCATTGCACCGTGAATCAATCCCAGTATCATGTCCTTGATCCCAGCAGAAAGATGCCAGACGTATCAGTAGACTAACTTAGTAATCACACACTCTAAATTCAGCCACCTGTAATGACCAACATGTATGACTGCATGAGGCTTTGGGGGGACATCGAAATATAAGGCATAGCAGTGTATAAATATCATATTTTCTTTATCCCTTTTTCTGTTGATGGACATTATGGGCTTTTTCCAAGATGTAGCTATTAGAACTGTGCTCTTATAAACACAGATATGCATGTATTACTGTAATATGATCTTTCAACTCTTTCAGGAAGGTATCTAGAAGGTGAGTAGTCAAATGGAATTTCTGGTTTCAGGTTTTTGAGGAATCTCTATACTGATTTCCATAGTTGTACTGGTTTACATTCCCACCAACAATGTAGAAAGTTCTTTTCCCCACAGCCTCTCCAACATCTGTTATTATTTGATTTCTTTCTTTCTTTCTTTCTAATTTCTTGATGATGGCTGATCTTTCTGGGATAACATGGAATCTTGGTGTTCTTTTAATTTGTATTTTCTAATGGCCTGAGATGCTGAACATTTCTTTGTGTATTTATTCGCCATTGTACTTCTGAGAAATGCCTGATCATTTCATTTGCCCATTTTTTGATTGGGTAGAACTTCTCTTTTTAAAATCACTAACCCTTCTAAGTTGCTGAAAATCACTTGGTTAGTGGAAAAAATTAGAACTGAAAAAAAAATAGCTGTTACTTTGCAGATAACTTGAAGGTTTGTCCTGTTTTGAAACTAATGATAGGTTAAAAGCTGCCCTTTTACAGATTTTAAAGGCTTGAGATACAAAGATTTTTTTAATTTAAAACATTTTAAATTAATTTTATTGGTATACTTTTGACATGCATAATGATCACATTCATTGCAGGGAATTTGTACCTGTACATGATATGTCTTGATTCTTATTTCCCCATTCCCCTCCCCTCCCTTCAACCTTTATTCTTCTTATTTACAAAAACTGTTAATTTTTCCCCTCTATTCTTTTTTCCCCTTTTCCCTTCCTTCATGTCCCCCTACCCCCTCCCTTGTTCCTCTTCCCACTTGAACATTTTCTTCCTGCTTCCCTATATCTGTTACACATTTTGGTTCTTACTTACATTTTTGGTTTCTCACACAAGAGAAACAATGCAATATTTAAACATATGTGTCCAATTTATTTCACTTAAAAGTATAGTTTCAGCATGTGTCCATTTACCTAAAAATGTGTCAGGTTTATCCTTCTTTCTCCAGAGTACTACACTGCTACATATATGATTTTTTTTTTTTTTTTTTGGTACCAGGGATTGAACTCAGGACCTTGCGCTTGCAAGGCAAGCAGTGCCACTGAGCTAAATCCCTAGCCCTTGATTTTTTAATTCTTTTGGGAAAATACCTAAAAGGGATATAGCTGGGTCAGTTTTTTAGGAATCTCCATACTGATTTCCATATTGGTTGCACTAATTTACACTCCCATGAACAGTGGAGAAGGGTTCCTTTATCCCACAGCCTCGCCAGCACATTGGTTGATTTGTTGATGACAGCCATTCTTTCTGGACTGAGATGGAGTCTCAGGGTTTTAATTTGCATCTCTCAAGTGACCAGTGATGTTAAACTTTTCTATTTGTATTTATTTGCTGTTTCTACTTCTCCATCTGAGAAGTACCTATTCATTTCAGATGCTCATTTTTGGATTAGGTCTTTAAATCAGATGGGGGGGTGGTCCTGGGTTTTTTTTTCCCCCCTAGATATTAGTCCTTTGCCTGTGGAATAGCTAGTAAGAATTTTTTCCCATTCTGTGATTTGTCTCTTCACTCTGTGGGTAGTTTATTTTGCTGTGCAAAGATTTTTCTGAAGTAATGCATTAGCTCATTGTTTGGAGTTTTGTTAACTTAATTAACTTATATTGAAGCTGGGTGTGGCGCACACCTATAGTCCCAACACTCTGAGAGGCTGAAGCAGGAGGATTGCCAGCTCAAGCCCAGCCTAGGCAATTGAGTGATTTAGCAAGATCTTTTCTCAAAATTGAAAAAAAAATTTTTTTTAAGGCTAGGGATGTAGCTCAATGAAGTCTTAATAATTCAATGAAGTATTAGAATGCTAATTTTAATGTTGCTTTTTTTTTTGGTACCGGGGATCAAACTTGGGTCCTTGCTCTTGCAAGGCAAGCAGTGCCGCTGAGCTAAATCCCCAGCCCTAATGTTGCTTTATTTTACCACATTTAAGAACTAAACTTACAGATTATTTATATATGCTATAATTCAGTCTTTCTTTCTTTCTTTTTTTTTTGGTATGGGGGATTGAACTCAGGTCATTGTGCTTGTGAGGCAGGCAGTGGAACCACTGAGATAAATCCCTGGCCCATTTTTTATTCTTTCTTTTTCCTCCCCATGCCCCCCCCAACTAGGGCTTTGAATCCGAGGCTTTCACATTGATGTACATTCCCAGATCTTTCCATTTTTTATTTTGAGACATTTAATGATGCCATTTAGTCTTTGTATTACAACCATTTACAAATATTGCTGGGTGTGGGCACATGCTTGTAATCCCAGCACTCAGAAAGAAGACTTGAGGCAGAAGGACCACTGCTAATCATGGCCAGGCTGGTGTACATCATGAGTTCAAGGTCAGCCTGAAATACATAGAGATATCCTGTCTCAATGAAAGTAAATAAATAAAAAAGAAATATGTTCCATTTAAAGTATTTCTAGCCTCAGTTACAGCAAAAATCATGAAAGTTCAATCCTTATAAAAAATAAAATAATGATGGGGCCGCAGATTTAGTTTCCACCACCTGCCTTGCAAGCACAAGGTCCTGAGTTCCATCCCCAGTACAAAAAATAAAATAAAATAAAATATTTTTAAAAATTATATTCTAAATTAAAGCCCTTACTATTATTACTTCTTTCTATAAGTAATAGGGAATGACAAGATTTTTGTTGATGGAATCAATTTCCATTTACTTGAATGCATTTTTAAATCTTTGGTTTAATTTTTTCTTCTCTGAGCTAGCTTCTTTTCTACCTAGGAAGAGAATTTTTAACCACTCTCCCTTACCACCATCATCACTAAGTAGTATCACTTCATCCAAGACTTACAACTTTGATTTCAGTTACTATCAACTACTCCAAAGTAGTTTAAAATCGTGGCTTCCACTTAGCAGAGGAAATAATTAAGATTACAAATTAAAGGCTAGAGCCGGGTATGGTGGTGCACACCGATAATCCCAGCATTTGGGAGGCTGAGGCAGGAGGATTGCTGGAGTCTAAAACCAGCCTGGGCTACATTGTGAGTTCCAGTCAGTCTCAACTACATAGTGACACCCTGTCTCAAAAAACAAACAAACGAACAAACAAACAAAAAAAAACAAATGAAAGGCTAGAGATGCAGCTCAATGATAGTGTGCTTGCCTGGAATGCACAAGGCCCTCAGCATCACAAAATGAATGAATGAATGGTTACAAAATAGGGTAGAGACAATAGGAAGAGAAGACTTGGGAGTCCAGGTTGTCAAGCTTCACACTATGAGGGTCACCATAAGACACCAGCAGCCTTATCTCCTCTTATCTCCTGAAGTTACTATTTCCTTACCTTAACTCTGTCCTCCGCAAACCCTACTTTTTTATTTCAATAAGTCTTATCTAGTTTTAGAAGTTTGGGCATAGTTGTGGCAGTTTTCTAACTTGAGCTGCCCCATCCTATGAACTCTATTAACCTTCTTTCTTTACTTGTTGGCAGGGGGTTTGTACATGACAGCCGGCATAACCTGCAGCTGAGGGGCTTGGTGGTGCTGCTTATCTCCAAAGCAGCTGGGCCCAGCAGCATGGACACTTCATGTCAGAACTATGATGCGGTCAGTGGGATCTACTCATGGTAAGAAGAAACTGTTAGTGCTTTATCATTCTGATTCAGTGATAGGTTAAAATACATTGTCAATTTTTGAAAATAGACTTTTCCTTTTCCTAGTAAGTCCATTCATCCTCTGATAAATTGTCCCACACGTCTGTATCAAATACTTTTATTTCTACTTGGGCAAGGGACCAAGAGTTGGAAGGAGCAGGGAGAAATGGACAGAGTAGGAGATGAAGAAAAAAGAATTATGATGTATCATGTTCATGCACCACCAACTCTCCATAATAAATGTGGCCGTTATGTACTATAAACGTACTGATAAAGTAAATTCATAAGTACATAAATATGTATTACTCATTTTTGCTCCGTATAAAATGAACTTAAAATTTTCAGTTTTATTTGTTGTAAATCACTGAATATATCTTAGTAACAGTATATCAGGAATAATGTTACTTAGTCCTAGCAGTATGCTTGGCACTGAGTAGAAGTGATAATCTGCAGGTGGACTTTGGCGTGTGAAATTTAAACTACCCTAATAACATGATGACAAGGTCATTTTTCTCATAAAAAGAAGGATTTCTAGAAACTTTGACTTGTGACTAATCAACTTTATTGATTTACTTGAAAAAAATCTATATTTTTAATTTTTCCTTTTTTAGGGCTGGGGTTCTTTTTTTAGCTCAGTGATTCTGCTGCCTGCTTCACAAGCATAAGGTCCCAAGTTTGATCCCCAGTACCAAAAAAATTTTTCCTTTTTTTATTCTTAGTAATCTTATCAACAAATGCTTCTTTTTCCTATAATGTTTAGAGATGACTCTTGCTTGCCAGCTACAGAGTCTAATGATCCTTCCTCATTAACAAACAAGCAAAGAAGATTACTGTCCTGGCTACAGATAATCACCCCTCCAGCCCCTGTCATTTTGTAGACTTTTTACCATTTAGCCGTACAAGTATCTTCAGAAAGAAAGGCTATCCTGGGATTGTTTTCAGTTCCTACTCATCCTGTAATTTGTATTTGTTTTATACTTTTGGGCTACTAATCATTTTTCATGACAGTTGTCTCATTTGACCCTTATAATGCCATAGGTGAGAGTTGTTATTTTACTCTTTTCCCTTTCAGATCTCATGTGTCTCTTCATGTTTCTATTATCGTCCAAAGAATTTATTTTTCTTGTAGATTTGACCAGCTATTAAATTAGTATACCAAAAAAAAAAATCTTCTTGCAAGAATGTCTTTAAAATCTTATAAATGGAAAGCAACTTGGAAAGTCTTCAATACATATACATCTTTCCCCCAAACCTTTTTGAATTAAAGCTCAAAACTTTATCATATAGATTTGTAGGAAACTCTTGGTTAAGTTCAGTTGAGATTACTAGAGAAATCTGGAATGAATACTAGTACCCCAAATGTCCCTGGAAAGCAGGTGAACCTCGCGCATCTTATGTCCCATGTATCTCTGTTTCCAGTTAGGAATTCCATTGATTTTTCAGCCTGTTGGCTTTGACCCTGTCTTGTCAATCATCTGCATATAAATTTGGGTAGCTATACATACATAGTGAATACCAGCTGTATTTTATTTTAATAACCCCTGAAAAGTATTATTCAGTATATAATTGATGTTCGAAATTTATTTATTGCATAAGTGAATTATCTTAATTGTGCAGAAAAGGTAGCTATTACTGAAGTTAAGTTTGTCTTAAAATCCTCTAGGTAGGAAGTGTTGAGACTAATAGCCTATTTTTATGCAGCCATTTTCTATAATCAAACTTGATCTAACAAGTTTTACACACTTGTTAATGTGAAAAAGTAATTTGTTACAGTACTTTGAGAAGCTATTAATTTATTTTCCTACCCCAAAGTTATTTATTTGGCTCCTGCTTCCTTAATTGTTCAAGTGTAACTTTTGCTGGAGGCTTGTATCTAAAATGTCACAGTGAATTATTTAACATTTGGGAGAAATAGTGATTTGGGAGCTTTGTACTTCACCTCCATACTACTGGGATTTCGATTGTTGGTGTTGTTCTCTCACAAACCTGACTTTGATGTCAGTTAATGGAACCTGAGTAAATTACCCAAGGGACCAAATATGAATGAAATGGGTGGTCTATTTTGTTTGGCCTAAGGATGTAACTGGTGCTGTGGATATGTCTAGTGAACCTATCACATAACCCAAAAGAGGCAAAATTTAGGCCAAAATGCAACTTAGGCTAACTGCACTTTTAAAAATGGACAGGAGAGCCACATTTATAAACATGCACTATAAATATCCACCATAGCCTTTTGCCAACAAGATTATGGGCTTAGGATTTATTCCATCAACCCTTACTTTTTATAAAGTGATTGTGAAGCCAGTAAAAAGAAAGTATTACTAAATTTACAAGTATTTCTCTCCATAGTTGATAAAATTTGTACAGTATCCCATTCTATTTATGATAGAATATTTTGGTGTATATATAAAAAACAGATGATTATAATATATAGCAGATAATATTAAAAATACAGGCTTTTCCAATGTAACATGATTATTAAATTTAAAGGAATTTAGGTGAATGTTTTGACTAATGGTTCAGCTTTCTCAATTGTTTTATAAGAACTGACTCAATTTAGACTCATCTAACAGACTACAAACTGAATATATTTTATCTCTACCTTCATTCATTGAAATTTCCAGATGCCTGAACTGTAGCAGAGAAGAGACTGAAACAAAAATACCAAATACATTTTCTTTTCTTCATGAGTCTATAGCTGGACTACTTTTCTTACCTTCCCTTGGAGTTAGCTGGGTCATAAGACTGAGATCTAGCCAATTAAATATGAGCAGAAGTTGAATTTTGTATTTCCTAATCATAAAAATCTTGCATTTGTATTTCTCCTTAAGGAGATGATCTTGAAGGTGACCTATTCAAGATTAAAGAGGCTTAGATCCCTAAATCATTCTTGAAAGAGAGCCACCTGCCCATCAGAGTTATCTGTATCAATTTGATGTATGACAGGGAAAATCTGTTTGCTATTGCCAAACCACTTAAATTTTAGATTTAAGCCAGGCATGGTGCTGCACTTCTATAACCCCAGTACTCTAGGAAGCCGAGGCAGAAGGATCACAAATTAAAACCCAACCTGGGCAACTTAGTGACTTAGCAAGACTTTGTCTTAATATAAAAAAGTTCATTGCAAAGGCCTTGAATTCAATCCCTACTACAAAAGAGGGAGTTAATCTCTTAACGGTAGTAAGTGTTATCTTAACATACCTTTACTGTTTCTGTTAATGCTATTGCTATTATATTACCCAGTTACCTGTCAATTTGGTAATCTTTGCTTATTCACACTCTTTTACCTTTTACTTCCTATACATAGTAAACCATCCACTCACAAGTTTTTCCAGGTCTTCTTTTCCTTTCGGTGTATTTCCCCTCTTCTATTCAGGTCTTTGTTACTTCATGTGTTGACTTTAATGACAGCTGTCTTTCTGGTCTCCCTGTCTTTAGATGTTCTTCCTTCTTATTTTACCTCTCAGGTCTTGCTTACCTCTAAAGTCCTGCTTTGATAATTTATTAAATAAATATTTATTAAGCACTTACTCGGTGGCAGGCCCTGTGTATGTTGCAGGTGATATAAGCTGAACAGCGTTTGCCTTCAACAACCTTAGCATTAATCCAGGGACCATACCAGTTTTTCTAACACCTGTAATACAGTGCTACAGAGAATAGTGAGAGGAGGAAAGGAGAAATAAAATTTTTAAATGAGCACCTTTTGGGCTTTATAAAATAGGTTTATTGGTGAACTTTGAAGGTAATTAGGAGGCCATCAATCATATGAAAACAGGTGAGTGAGTGACACTTGGTTGTATTCTAGGCAGAGGAAGCAAGGAACTGACTGGTCAAAGCCATAGGATTTTGAAGTACCTGCTAGTGCCCAGATCAGTATGTACTTTGTGATAGGCATTTAGTACCACTGTTACATGAATATGTGAACTTACGGAACAGATTAACTTTATTATTATATGAGTCTTGGAGACTGAATTTTGTACTCCCAAAATTCATGCATTGAAATCTTCTGCCCCAGTGCTTCACAGTGTTTATTTGATGGTAAGTTTTTTAACAAAAGTAATCAAGTTAGAATGAGGTCATTATTTTGTACATAGGGAGGGAAGAAGGGAGCTTGAAGGGTGGGGAATGGAATAAAATAAAATTTATTTTAAAAAATTAAATGAGGTCATTAGAATGGGCCTTAATGCAGTATGACTGGAGTCCTCATAAAAAGAGGAAATTTGAACACAGACACATGAATAGGAAGAATGCCTCTGACCTGAAGACGGCCATCCACAAGCCCAGAGGAGAAACAGATTCTTTGTTCACAGCTCTAGAAAACTTGTGAAGTAAGGAATAGAAATGAGGAGGTGATGTAGAAAAGAAAGGCTGAAGACAGAGTGTGAAAGGCCTAAGGAATTAAGACTGTATCTTGGAGAAAGAGAGGCAAAAAAACTATCCAAGAGGCAGCAGAGTGAACTTGGAATCTGCAAACAGACTTGTACCACTGACTAGCTACTTCAGACTCTGGTTCTGTGAATTTCTTGAGTGAGAACTGGGAGTAGAATGAGAGATAGAGCACTTGACTTCACATGTGCACGGCCCTGGGTTCAATCCTCAACACTGAAAAAATAATTAAATGAGTAAATAAAGTAATGCATGGATTATAGCTACAGAACACAGCTGATATCTGTAAGATGTCCGTGTGAGTGAGAGCCAAGAGCTAGAGAACCAGCCAGGGAGTTAATGAAGTGCTCTAGGCAAGAGCTGACAGGGAAAACAAAGACTTGGAAGGGCCGTGGAGTTGTTCCCAAAGTACTTGGTCAAAAATTCATGGGGTAGCCAGGTGTGGTGACATACGTCTGTAATTCCAGCACTCAGGAGGCTGAGGCAGGAGGATTGCCATGAGTTTGAGGCCAGCCTGGGCTACATAGTGAGCTCAAGGATAATCTGAACTGCACAGCAAGACCCTGTCTCAAAAAGAAAAAAAAAAT